TCCCGGGCGATGGAATCTCCGCTCGTGCTCCTTGCGTTTCTCGCGCTACCTTTTCTTTTCTCGTCGAGTTTGAAAACCATGTTTCGGGTCCTCGCCACTACAAAAGCTGTGGGCTGAATACCAGGTTCCCCGAGAAAGGCTTTCTTCTATCAGATCCTCGCGCTCCAAATCTGCGACGGGGCCCTCTATGTCTCCGTTGTCGAACTGCCAGGCTTTGTGAGTACAGGGGAGGCTATGGTCTAATTAAAGTGTAGTATAGAACACGGGGTAGTCTTGGGACCGGAGCGGCTCGCGTGAGGTGTGTGGTGTAGATCGCGATAGGTGTCGACACCGCGCATAGGCAGTCGCGTCAGTAGGGTGGTGGTTGTGGGCGTTCACCACGTGCACGCGCACGTGTGGCGGCACGTGCGGACTGCAGCGACTTTCTGCTGCCTGTCAACTGCGGCGCTGCGATTGATTTCTACACGCGCAGCCCCACAAGCTCCCATTGCCGAACCGCGCCGGTTCAAACACTACCCCCTTTTGCAGTACATTGTAGTCTAACCATGGTTAGTGGCCGCAAACTATTCATTCGCAAACAACTCTAGAAGCTTGTTTGGATAAGCGAGACGTTGTAGAGTCGTACAGAAAACCTCGATGCCCGGCACCCTATCTTTCTGCGCGCTGATTACCTTAGCAGGCATCTTCAAACGATGCAAAAGTTCGTCCACGTCGTATTTCTTGAAGCACAAGAGCCCCCTGAACGTTTCGACTTGCGTTCTGCTGATGTTCAATCGGCCACTTTTTCTGACCGACCGTCTTACCTTCTCTTATCCGTGTAAGAAATGCAGTTTCTCAAATTCTTGCCACGACAGCGCGTCGAGCAGTAGCGGGTCGGGTCGCATAACTCGCTGAAGTCATCGGCGATTTCCAGCAGTTTTGCTGGGCAGCACTAAGACTAAGCACGGAAAAATGTGAGAAAAGGACGCGGCTGTTGTGTTGGCCTCCGTGAGCACGATACTGGTGCTCGCCACTCGGGGTAGCTTTTCGTGGCATATCAGAAGAAATAAAGAGGGCACGGCACGCGCATTCATTTGATCGGTGCCCAGGGTGAGTGAGCTGAAAGTGTGGCCATAGATAGCTTTGGCTCCTTGACTCTCTTCTATAATATGCGAAGGAAGCTCACCTTATCGACCATATCTAGCACACCCTCTTTCATTCCGACAACAAAAAGGCCAGAAAGGTGTAACCCTAGCCATCTTGTAACCCTTTTCGATTCTATAAAGACGTATCAACAACAGCTGCATTGCCAAGAAATGCTGTCCCTGATTATCAGAACCGGTTTATGCCGGTCCTTTGTTGTCTATGGAAGGAATTATCTTTCCTTGTTTGATAGCGTGACGGATTCTACACTAATGCAGTTTTTGTCTTCTCGAGGATGTGGAAGGCTTCCAGCACTTAGCGGGTCAATTTGTCGTTGTTCCTCCCGAAGATGCTTTTCTAACCGAATAACGGTCTGCTTTTGTCCACTCCCTACAATGGATCGGAAGAGGTCCACCCAGGGTAGCCCTCAAGGCGTAATCGTGCTCACAGAGTCGATCACTGAGGCATCAGCCCGTTTGGCCTATGTGGCTCTTGTCACACGAAGGTGGAACCTTATACGACACCCGAAGCACATAGGAGAAATGGTTTTGCATGCTTCTTGGTCCATTTGTGTTTTGTGCTACCCTATTCATGCGCCTTCACTTTAGGGCAAAATTGGACTTCATTTTGCCGTGCTGAAAAAACTACTCTGACTCCATACCAGCTTGCAACGTTTTTTTTTTTCTTTTTTTTTAAAGATAATGGGACATATGGGACATGCTGAGCCGGTACGGTATAAACACTGGCCTTGTTTTCTAGACGGTGGTCTTGATGGTCTTAAAGCCTTTTCGTTTTTTACCAGAGCGTTTGCCTCCTCAGCCAAAAGGTAATGGCTATGCCCCTCTCAAGGATTTCCCCCTTGATGACTTTTGAGTGGGCCGAGCTATAGTCTAAAATACCTTTCTTGGAGCTTCGCGTGGTTTGTGGTAGATGCACATGTCCGGAGTGGATCTTCTGTTTTTATTTTTTATATTTTTTTTCTGTTAGTAAAAAGCTATACAACTTTTCCACAAAGGCACAGCCATCTTGAATGTCGTCACTTCTGGTGTGCGGCAAAACATCGTCTTGATCTCTGCATGCTGTTAAAAGGTGTTTACGAAAAAATGCGTGATGGTCACATAATCTTGTTTTGCCTCAGCTATATTTTCTTGCATATTCCAGGGCGAAGTGTAATATTTTTTCGTCCCGCATACGAGATAGGGAACCGACGTGACTGAGAACGACAAGAAACAAAAAACGTCTATACTACGCCTAAACAAACTTTTGCTCAGTGCGCTTCATCGAATGACGTTTGAGCGAATAAAAAGAGAGGCAATCATCTTAGCGATAAGCGTTTCTCTGCGCTTTCCGACATACTGAAAGCCAAAAATGACCCATATTTTATAATACCACATGACATATCCACACTACAGATATGCAGTTCTCTCAATGAAGAACGCGCAGTCCAGTTTTGCGTCTGTTCCACTGCATTCTTTAATGAAGGTCGTGGTTTGGATTGTGTACCATACTTTCCCTGTCAGGTGGGACATTAACTTTTAAGGAATTTCGGTGTCGGCGTTTGTTGTTTGTCGTCGCAGCGGAGTTCGACAAACCCTTTTCTCCCCTCGCACCGCGAAGGGAAAGAACTTGGGGGTTTCCATTGGTCGCGCCGCGCAAGGAGGGGAAAGTGAGGAAAGCCCCGACGACTCACCAGTAATGCCCCGATGACGAGAATATGAGTCAGCGAAGCGTGTTCCCGGTCATCTGCTAATGATAAGTTTAAACCATGCGTTTTCAAGCATTACTCGCACAATACAAAATTCCACTTTGGCAGCATCCAGTTGCTACGCGTAATGCTGAATGGGTTTAGGAACTTCCGCCGTTCGACTTCACTAGAACAGTGGTCCTCAACCATTGATGTTTCGCGGACCCCTAGTGAATCGGTGCAGATGATAGAGGACCCCGTCCGTGTTGAGGGGAAGAGGAAAGCATCGATTAATTATAATAATGATTAAATAAATGGATGTAACTAAGGGCTAGGGTAAAGTAGACCTCTCTCATTGACACACACACACGAGAAAACCCAGCCGAAAATTGGAACGTTTCTTCTGAATCTGAACAACTACAACTTTTATTGCGGTGCTTGACTGATGAGGCAGGGCTTAGCGGACCCTCATTTGAGAACCACTGCACTAGAACAACTCTGCTCCTCGAACTAAACTCGAAAAGTGAAAAGGGTTTCTGCGAAAACTCGCCGGCTCGCACACGGCTTCCCCGCAGAGCTTCGACTCGTTTTACCTGCATGCCTTCTCCCCTCCGCTCATCGCTGAACGTCAACATTACCCCGTCCCTTCAGTGCTGAACAACACCGGGAAAACTTGCGCTTTCGCTTGCGTCGTCTCTGCCGCTGACTTTTTCTAATGGCGCCGCCGCACCTAGGCCGTACGGCCGTACTCCGTCCCAGGAGGGCGTGCTTTGAGAACGGCTGGCTTCCTCGGCTCGCGACCGGCGTCGCGCCCACACTGACCACAAACGAGTGGCTGGTGGTCACTTCGCCCACTTACTTTACCGAGCATCAAATGTGTCGTATTGCCTACTTACTTTAACGAGCACCGAGTACTCGCGGCAGTCGTCGGTGGCATCCACGACGCCAACCACGACGGCGGTATTAACCACTTCGCATCTCCGTCCACAGGTTCGTGCCGACACCATTTTGCCGGCATTGTACGAACGTGCTCCAACTATGGCGTTTACTTGTTCGCATACTGTGGGGGAAAAAGGGCGCCTTTTTGTTAGCGATGTTTTTAATAAAAACATATGAGGCGCACGAGGGGAACGGTGGCCGAGTGTACTAGCGCACACCAGATCAGAGGTGCCCAGGTCGCCGTCACCACCGACTCCGCATCCCTTTATTCCCTATTTCTAGCATTTGGCGAGCAAACGTTTTCAACCTACCAGCTCGTGTGTGCACGTTAAATACCCCAGGCTAGCTGTTTTACTACACTGCCCCCCCCCCCCCCCCCCCCCCCCGGAATGTCCTCCAGTCTTTTCACTTTAGCAGAGCGAACACTTGAGAGGAGGCAACTGAATTCGCCTCCTCTCTCGCCCCCTTTCCAGCATTCGCTCTGCTAAAGTGGATAGAGAAAACAAATTTGCGGAGGGAGCTTATACCGCTTTTCTTAGCCTGCTAGTATGGCGCCTGGAATATGTCTGCAACCGGTGTGTTCACCGTGTCCGAAAAAGTGGTCCCTCGATTTCCGCCTGATGGCGTCATAGAAGCGCCATGCTGTAACCTGTCGCGATCCTGGCGGCGTCCCAACAGCTGTGTGTATGTGGTATACGTGGCGGACCCCTGTTCTGCTGCACGTAGCTCTCCAGTCTAACAGTCCACGGAAGCCTAGGCAGCCAGGAGCTGAGACGCCGTGACGACAGCGGCACTCACGTCTGCTCGTAACCTTTGCCGGAACTTCTGCGACACACCACCAAGATCGCGAAATCCGACTGCGTAACACTCCGGCTTCTGTGGCGTCATTTTGTTGCCACTTCGGAGCCACTTTCAATGTATGGGTCTGAGAGGCGTTCCAGGCATCGCACTTGCTACAAAGTATAGAGCGAAAATAGTATACGTTTCAGGGTGACGAAACTTAGCCATGTTGGAGCTCGAAAGCAATCTTGCTATACTTACTCAATAGTAACCTGAAATCGCACAATAAACGCTTTTCCGTCCTCCAGAAGTGTTAAAGCAATTTACATCAGACGAAAAACAATATCACTGGAGTATCCTGGCACCTTAAGCCGCAGTTTCGTATTGTAACTATCCCTATATTTGCGCCCGCTCTGAACTAAGAACCAAAATGGCGGCGCCCACGAGGTAAACAGGGAATGGAGTGCCAATAATGTAAGCGTATAGCTGATTTACTGGCTCTGGTAGGCACCACATAGCAAAGACGGACTTTGTCACTTGGCCACGGTTTCCGGACGACTTGCTTCCGAGTAACTCTTTTCTGTCTGGAAGCTGGTGCTTCGAGTCGAGAGCCATTCCCTAGAGCTGTGGGCTGTGGTGCCTGGTGTCACGGTCTCCGGTGACGTGGACCACCCTCCGAGGGTACCGTTCGCTGTGCTCTGTAACGGAAAAACAAAAGCAAAGAAGCACTCGTAGATATTCACAGTATCGAGCTGTATGCTCTCTTTTTACAATTGAGGCATCCTCTCGAAGATATACTGCAAACACTACGCTCTGCGGCTTTCCTGGCGCCAGCTCCTTGGCCGATACCGCTACTGGAACCAGGTTTATGCCGGAAGTTTTCGGTGAGCACTCGAAAAAAAATTAACATAATAAAAGCAAAAAAAGGCTGCGTGACACGCGCGCCAATGTCAGCATTGGCGGAAGAGGGAAGGAACAGCCGTTCAGGATGAAGCGGTGGCGCTACTGCTGACACTGAGATGCGGCGTCCGCTTGCGTCCGTCGCCGTTCGGGTGATTTCTTGCTCCGCGATTATGTATCGCGTGCTATATATGCGCCCCTGAAAACTCTTCTGAAAGTTTACACATGTTGATTTTGGACATGTGACTAACGTAACAGAAGAATAAACCTCCCGATGCTTTTGTCGTCGTCGTCATCGTCGGGAACGGCGAAGAGGGAGGCTTTCTTATCCTTCGTTTTCGCAGAAATGTATCTCGTGGTGCATCTGGGAGCAAAGCAGTGTGTTTGCCGTTTTGCCATCGCGGTAGTCTCGACGCATGGGGCTATCGGTGGTAGGGAGCGCTGCTGTCGTCGGGACGCAGGCTCGTTCGTTCTCGTTGAGGAGACGGCATGCCTCGGTAAAACCGCTGACTGCCGTCGCATTCCGGGCCATTGGATTGTTAAACCCGTTTTTTGATATTCCTTTGAAATGTGTCCAACTTTGTCGGCTAATGTCATGGTGGTGTTGGCCAGTTTGCACAGCGCCAGTGTGTCCTCACTTTATGTGATGTACTTTTCTTCGACACCTCGTGCTCGGTAGGCAAGGCGTCCCTCGACTATAGTTGTCTTCTTTGTGTGAGAGTGAACTCGTCAAGAAATTTCTCCGTAAACCAGCCCCACGAGACGAAGACATAGTTGTTGTTATACTAAGCCACTGCTGGGTCCTTCAGGTAGAAATAGGCTTTTGCACGCTGTGGGAGTCGCGGAGCCATTTGGTGACGTCCCGGTCTACAGCGCCAGAGAAACAGCGCCAGAGAACAAGGGTGGGTTTCGCTGGCGGATGGTGACGGTTGGAGCCGGCATTGTTCCAGAACTCGGCGAGGAGGGCTGCAGTTGCTGGCCCGATCGGAGTTCCGTGTTGATGAGCAGAGCCTGCAGCAGGGGTCGTTGCGCCTCCATCAAATAATACGCGGTATTGAGACAGGACAAATACATCTGATACCATGAGATTATTCTGGCCTTAGAGTTATTGGTACGTATCCAAGGACACGGACATCAAATTTCCCTACCTCCAGTTAACATGTGCGGAAGCAAATATTGGGAAAATGTTCCTGTACCGAGAAGAGAAGTAAACGGGAAAATAAGGAGTTTTAGTAAGTCGTTCCGATACCTCCGATAAAGATACCCGATGAAGATATGATGCATGTACAAAACGGTCAGGAAATATCGGGTATCGTTGTCGGAGGTTTCAGAACGATCTATAAAAACTCCTTGACGGTCATGGTTCCCAAAGGAAGAAGCGTCTTGGCGGACATTTCCCTGCGAGCTGTCTTCTGGACGGCAAAATAAAACTGCCAATGAAGATTTCTTTCCGTGAAACTTCTATGTTTCTTTTATAACATCCCCAATGCGTGTTTTTTTTTTTTTCGTTTTTTTCTGATTTTGATAAAACCGTCTCGGGGGTCGGTTTTCGGTGTTTAGCGCGGAATATGACGAAAACCTTTACAACCAGGATCCCTGGTTTTCAAATAGAAATGAATAAATAAATAAAAGCCACTCGCCGGTAGATTTCACGTCAATTCAGCTTTATCTGAAAAAAAAAAAAAATGAGGTCACAACAAGAAAATGAAGCACAACATAAACTTCATAAGATTACAAGGTCATTGGTCATTAGAAGATGCAACTTCAGTTTCCCTCGCAATCCTGAACTATTGACAATTAAGGGGTTTGCCTCTTAGCCTGTCAAGTTTTCTTCAGGACGACGGGTCATGATACCCGGATCTTGTTAATTTTGTTTATGAATTTTTGAAAACTGAGAACAAAGCAAAAATCAATTTTTGAATTTCAGAGAATTGGGAATCTATCTAACTAAATTCGGATAAACCCAAAATTTTCATCGAAAATTAAACTCCGAAAAATACCACCCGACTTTCGCGAGAAATAAGCTCAGAAAAACACGAAATCCTATATATAACACATTCTGCGTGAAAAAAAAAAAGCTTGACAGTGCCGTTTTGCACGACACCGAAGAATGGGCAACAGTAAAGACTGTTTGCGCGTACCGGTTCGACGCTGGTTTCGACCAGGGTAGACGTGGGCGGCGGCAGGTAGACGGGCGGCTCCGGCACGGGCTCCCTGCGCGGTACCTTCCGCTCGAGCAGTTGCAGCGTGGCCGCGCTGGTCGGTCCCGTTAGCCGACTGCTCAACAGCCGGGCTGGCACCAGCGCCAGGAACTCGGACGCGCTCTCCGGCCGGGGACCGGCGCCCTGCAAGAACATCGTCCCTATTGTCCTCGTCCATTTGCCGAGCTCAGTCAGCGGAATGGTCAAACTGCGGCTGGAGAACCACATGCGGCGGCTCTTCGCGGGTCCAAGTCGCGGGAACGTCACCTAGAATAATCACAGCCTGCGCACTAGAATTTCGACAGCTTCACAGTCGGATCGAGCGAAGATGCCGATTGGAAACGAGTGCCGCGTCAGCGTTCGGTTGGTCCTCGTGTCCAATCAACCATAGCCTCTTCTATACTCACAAGGCCTGGCAGTTCGACGACGGGGCCATAGGGTGCCCGGTAGCAGATTTGGAGCGCGAGGATCTGGTAGCACAGAGCATCAAAGAGCCATTTCTCGCTAAATCTGGACGTGAGCGCGCAGCTTTTGCAGCGGCGAGGACCCGAAATGGCATTCGTTCGCTCGGGAGAAGTGTGTTTTGACGTCTCGCCACAGCGGGGCGCCAGTCACGTGGCTCTTCTCTCATCCACTGTCTGCCGCTCCACCTTTGCCATTTTGGTGGCCGCTTCTCGTAGCGATCTGCCAAGCTTTGTCAGTATATAGGAGGCTTTGACTTAATGCGTCGGGGGACACTGGCATCCGGATCCGGTCCAGTTGCTGATCTGGCTCAATTCGACTGGGATGACGTTTCATACGGAGGAAGAGGAGAATGTTCCCGGACCTAGTTTATTCTTAAGTGGTGTCGTTTAAGTACGGTTTGCTGCTTCTTGGTTAGCATACCCCACATTACCCTTAGATCAGAAGGCATGTTGCATGCCTTGCGGGACCATACATACTACGCCAGACGAGCCAGATAAGTGCATCAGGGTCAGTAATTGAGTAATCATGCATGCGTTTGTACCGTGACTATGCCCTTACAGCAATAAATATGCCAAGGATCTTTTTTTAGAGTGTCTTCGTTATTAAAATAGTTAATCTTTATAGTTCTTTGCCCATGTGCATCAATCAGGACACCGTCCTGGCTATCCAGAGGCAAATAATAAAAAAAGCCTTCCGCCTTGAGATTAAACCGGGGACCTCCAGCCCGTGAGGCGCACGTAATAACCACTGCACAACAAAAACTATCTTATCTCTGTCTCTCTTTATGCATATGCATATTTCTTTAATACAGAACAAAGTCACATACAGGTTCTTTATATAGTTCGCATTAACTCGAGGGGTTCAAAATTATCAGTTCTCACCTCTAATACGAAGCCTCCAATCTACTTACACCTAACAACATGCAGGTTATGACGTAAGAAAATACAGGATTGTACAAAAAAAAAAAAAAAAGAAACCCGGGTCAAAAATAAAAACACCACCATGGCCAAAAATTTATCATACACCCATTTTAAACGTGCTCAACTTGGATAAAAGCACGATAGGCTCATGCAAACATCAAAGAGGGTAAACTACCCTAAGCCAGGAGGGCGTTCCTCCTATGCGCTCACTAGTTTGGCAACTTCTTCAATAAAGAGAGACGTCTTACGTGGCGGTACAGCAATTCTATCGATCATGCGGCACTTCCAGAGGCTGCACAATCCCAAGGGCATGAATAAATGATGCGACAATTTTGTGCGTTTCAACTGAAACAAGCCGTGTGCTGTGTTTCGTAAAATCAATATCCTATTTTAGAGTTCGTCGATGAACATAAAGAAGTCGATTTTTTGCCGCACTATGGCGTGGAAAGGCAAGGTCTTAGAGTCCTTGCAGAAGGGCTCTATGCCAAACCAAAAATCATTGGGTTTGTTTTTGTAAGCAAGGACTAAGTGACCTTGCCGTAGGCAAGGTCACTTAGTCCTTGCCTGAAGGTTGCTCTAGGTCAGACCTAAAGACAGAATGTTTGTACTTTAGATTTCTGGTTTAGACAAAGATTAGGAGTCCTTTCCTTAGGGCTCTATGCCTTTACGCCAGACATAAAATTTTTAGGTTTGTTTTTATGTCCTGGCCTCAGGGCTCTAAGCCTTTATGACACACCTAAAGCCACTATTTTTGTCCTTTAGACTTTGCCGTAGGCAAGGATTCCAAGTCCTTCCCCAAGAACTCTAAGCTTTTATATCATACCTAAAGTCACTAGATTATCTTCATAGGTTTTTAGCTTGAGCACGGTATTAGAGTCTTTGCCTTAGGGCTTTAAGCTTCTACGCAAGACTTGTCACTAGGTTTGTTCCCTGGATGTTTGGCCTAGACAAGGTCATCGAGTTTTTGCCTCATGGCTCTAGGCCTTTACGCCAGACCGAAAGTCACTAAGTTAGTTTTTTGTGTGTTTGGCCTAGGTTGCCTAGGCCTAGGCCTTAGAGTCTTAGCATCAAGGCTCTAAACCTTCTAGTCAGACCTAAGGTAAGGAGGTTTGTTTTCTCGCACTTTAACCTAGGAAAGTTTCCAAAGTTGTTGCGTCAGGGCTCTTATGCCAACTCTTAGTCAGGCTTGTTCACAAGTCTTAGAGCCCATGACTTAGGTTTCTAAGACTTTATGTCAGATCTAAAGTCACTAGGCTCGTTTTTTGGGTCTCTGGCCTAAGCAAAGTAATAGAGTCCTTGCCTAAAGGCTCCAAGTATTTTACGCAAGACATGAAAACCCTAAGGCAAGGACTCCAAGACACGACCCTAGAGAAAGTCCTAGAATTCTTTCCTTAGGGTTCTAATCCTCTATGTTATGAGTATAGTAATTAGGTTAGTCGTTTAGATCTTCGTCCTATTCCGTATTTTCTGTATGCCTGCGCGTTGTTAAAAAATAAGCCAGATACCTCTTCTATGGAGGGAGAAACAGGCGTCGGGGTGAGATGCTTCTTGGCCACCCAGACCGACGCTGCAATGACAAGGGCCGTGGCAACGAAAAGGGCAGACACAGCGCACAGCAACGGCAGGGAGTATGGGTGACCTGCGTGGACGTCCTGGCTCCTCACTGGCAGTCATCATCTTTATAATATCGCGATTATAAAAATAGCTTTTCAAGAAGTTACATCCGTCAGCAGAAAGAGTAGCAATACAGGAAATATAACAAGATGTATGTGCCGTCTTAGGGGTACATGCGCTCCATTACATGTGTTGATTATCACAAGAAAAATATAAACAATTTGACAGGTTTTTAACAAGATGTAGAATAAATTTTATCTTCTAATTTGTATTACGTGAATAGTAAACGCCCAATAGGCAATCTCGGACATCCGACGAATGGCGGGCTAGATCACCCTGTATATAAGAGAACTTGGGAGCACAATCTTTCACCAGTATTGTTGTAACGTCAAGGTCAATAATTAAAGAGAGCCCGGGGTGTGATCGGACTGAGCCCTTCGTTGAGTACTCTGATCAAAACAGTACACGCTCTTAATTAGTGACTTTGTTGCATTTCAGCGCAAATATAGTAAAATGCCTAAAGTTCAGAACCAATACAATATTTGTGGCGCCCTTTATAGAACAACTCCGCTTTTTACTAGGCTTTTCTGCTTTCGAATATGCGAGGCACACTTTGGTATGCTGTGTTCAACTCACCCTTCGGTGGACTTCATTCAAAACTACAGATTACGAGGTCCAATCACGAGTCACCTAGAAACCCCGCGGTACCGACGGTAATACGCAAATTGCAGCTGTATACCACGGGCTGCTTCGTGATTGGGCGTGGCAGCCCGTAGCTTCCGCTCTAATCCATCACACGGTTAGACCCTGTACAGAAAACTGCACATGACTTGTATTGACGTCGCATTGGCAGCCATCGTGGTGGCCTTGCTGCGGAGTACGTATGTACCTTCTGCAGCATGCGTTTTGTGAAGCGAATATATATATATATATATTTCTTTTTTTTAGAAAAGAACGAGTAGGAATTATTACAAGAATGATGCTATGACGCAAGGTGCAGGTCACATATCTCGGTAAAGCTTTCAAGTGAGAAGAGGCACAGTCGTGAAATAAAAGTAATGACAGGTTACGTTATTTTAACGTCATATATGACGCGTTTTCTTTGAACGAATGGAAACTTGTTCCAAAAGTGAGAAGGCACGAGGAACGAGCCCTGACTCCTAATTTCAAGAAAGGAGCACAGATCACTGTGTTATATGGTGGCACCTCACCAGATAAGGTGTGCTGATCACCTCTTAAGCAATCTTGTTGCTCAAATCCATCGTTGCCAATTATCTGAAGCTTTAGCCGGAATCGCAGAAAGCGCTTTTTTGTCCTCCAGAAATCTTGAAACAATTAACGACAGATAATGGCGATATTATGTGAGCTTCTTCAACACACACACACACGCACACACACACACGCACGCACACACACGCACACACACACACACACACACACACACACACACACACACACACACACACACACACACACACACACACACACACACACACACACACACACGTTTGTAAGCTTTTCAGATTTGTTTAAAGAAAGCCGTAAAAGTCACACTCATGCGGTCTGTGCAGGTGGGCCATTATGTGGGTGGCTAATCTCTGCGATGAGTCGGCTAATTAATTAAAATTCGTTTATTAGCTTTTTAATTAGTGAAAATAAATGGACATGTGGTTCCATCTAGAAACTTATTGAGCGTCATCGAAAACCACTAAATCAGCTCTTTTTAGAACGACTTGATGCTCGTGAGAAATTCGGGGGCGCACCAAAGTTACCACCCGTGCCGCAGACGCAATGCTAGTCGTGGCGGAACGCGGAGGATTCGATTATCATCGCGTAACTATCGCCAATTGCACCTGATCTTCCCGCTCTACACTGTGCAACAAAATGGAGGCGCCCACAAGACAATCGTGGAATGGATTGTCTATGCCCTAAGCGTAGCCTACTTAGTGGCTCTAGTGGTACCCACCTCCGGGTGGCAGCAAGGTCCTTGTGTTTGTGGTAAAGACGGCGAGACGATTTCCGTCCAGGTCGGACACGACGGCAGTGCCCCGGTTTACCCTGTCCCGGAGTTCCCTCCTGGCCGCCAGTAGGGCGCTGCGGTCAAGCTCCAGGGTGGGCGTCTTGACGGGAACGAGGTCGGCCTGCACAAGCACGCTGCCTGCGGGGGGACACGCGGCGTCAATCGGCTGCCAATTTGGTGCAGATCCTGCTGAGCGCTTATCCTTGGCAGCATGCATTACGCACGACCGAATTTGTTTTATTGTGTAAGAACAGGGAGGAATGAACGCTAGCACGGAGCAATGACGTTACGTCCACTGACGTCTTATCAGCTGTGGGTGCCTTGCTCGTGAGCATGTACCTTCTGCCGGCAGCCTACATTTCGCACCAGCTAGAGTTAGTTTTCCTCGGCAGTAATAAATACGGTGCGTTCCAAATGGCGGCCAGGCTCTTTAAATCGACCGCAAAAATCGGCTTCTTAACCTATCGCGTTCCGATTTTGGACAGTGTTGGCCACTGGTGGTGCATTGCTTCTATAAAATAAAACGTGACGTCGGGGGGGGGGGGGGGGGGGTCACGTGACCTGGAGAGGGGTCACGTGACCTCGGGGTAGAGGGTCCACGTGGGGGGTCACGTGACCCTCTCCCGTGACCTCGGGGAGGGGGGTCACGTGACCCCCAGAGAGAATTTTCCGCTAGATTTAGCGGGGAAATTTTTCCGCTAAATTTAGTGGGGAAGATTTTCCGCTAAATCTAGGGAGGAAATTTTTCCGCTAGATTTAGCGGGGAAAGTTTCCGCTAAATCTAGCGGGGGAATTTTTCCGCTAGATTTATGGGGAATGTTTTCGCTAGATTTAACGGGGAAATTTACCCATAATGCACCACGCGGTTACGCCGACGGCGACGCCGACGGCGACGCCACTCAAGCCGGCAACGGGCGCCTAAGAGCTGCGCTCTAAAAGCCTTGATATTTTGTGGAGACCTGAACCTAAATACTAGCAATTAATCGCGCCACCTTCCGGTCGTGAGTGCTGTGACAAATGGCGTGGCGATCGCTAGAGGGCCTTCATCCTTTACCTCAATGTCTGTCACTGTCCACATAGCCGCGTGGATGTAGCAACCTTTTCGCGTCCATTATGGCGGAAGAAAAAAATTGTGAATCTGCAGCTTCAGGGAATTTCCTAACCAATCGATGTACATGATTGACGAGGGGCTCAGGGATCGTTTACTTTCGGTCCTCTACGACCACCCTATATATACTTCGTTCACTCCTAAGATGCCAGTGCGGTGGAAGCTACATGCTCGTTGGTCCAGTCATACGCCCACGTTTTGCCACCTGACTACGCTTCCGCCCGTGTCCACGCAGGAAGAGCGGGGTCAGGTAATAAAACGGGGGCGCAGGATAGGTCAAGCGAGCGCGTAGCTCCCATAGCACTGTCAACTTAGGCGTGTAACGAAGCTGCTGCGATTTGCTCAAGGCGCGGCAAGTTTCCGGCATTGCTTTGCGAAAGTGACGCTCGCACAGCTGCTCGGGGCGAAGGATTGCTAAGCCCCGGGGGCTCTCGTTGCGTTACGAGATGTATAAAGTACTTTTCTGAAGGGTCCGGAAATGGAGCTTCAATTACGAAACCGGTAATGGACATGGGTCAATATTTTCTTCGTCGAATGTCTCGCGTCCTGCTCATAGATTTTTCACGGTATGTGTCCAGATGGGATCTCGAGCTACGTATTGTGGAGTTCGGCACTCGGAAAGCTAAAGGAGGGCCCACTTTGCTTGCCATGGTTTCGGCGTGCCTGGCGGTCTATACACCATTACGGGTGCTACTTTCAGCGCCATAATTAGGCTGCTATGGTATGTATGCTTCTTTTGTGTTCTTCACTCCAAGACATCAGCCATGTGTTGTGCACTTGTACAGCATACGACTCGAAATGTAAAGCGAGCGAGATACAACTGAGGCTAAAACAAATAATAATAATTAAGCAATTTGACTGCCTCATATTCTTGGACTGGGTCCTTTTGAGGACTGACATGGAGCTACAAAAGCGCCGGCTAATGATCTTATTATTACTCGTTGATTCAGAATATTCGAAACATTCATGTAAATAGTGTAATTTTTAAAATGACGGTCCCTTAGCCAAAGGTTCCTTTATGACCGAGTAAATGGGGTAGTTGGTTCTCCCAGAGTGCAAGTGAGAGCTGCACAGTGAAGCCCACTGAGGGAGCTACTGGAGGCACTGTCATCGCGGCATTCAAACGGTGGTACAGCTGTGCGATTGAATATTTTGGGCTGCAACAAGATTGTTTGCTAGTATGTTTTCGAGTTGGATTGTAGTATTGTTCATAATGTGGCGTGCGAATACCTGTTCCGATAGAACAATGCTGTGTCCTGTTTATTCGTGAGCTAGATTTAAAGTTATATTAATTCGATTTTGATTTTGGCTATCCATGAAACTGTGATCAGACGCACACACAGGCAATACGGAATCATCCGGTAGTTTCAGGGCAAACGGAAAGCAAGAAAATGCCTTACCTGGACGCACGCGCACGTTGCGTATTGCCGGCATGGGCACCCTGAGAAGCGAGCTCAACTGTCGACGCATGTGCTCTCGGAATTGCCACTCCCGTCCACGCACGCAAGAGCCATAGTCTGCATCAAGAGCTAGGACCACTGGAACGGAATTTATGTTTGGTTTCAGACCTGGAGGATTGTCCGGACGTGAATCGCCTCCCGCACCTTCCGTTTTCTGTGTACTCTGTCCCGGTAAAAGCGTAGACATCGTGCTTCGTTTTGGAGATGTCTGTCCGGGGGTTGCTGCTTGAGACACGGTAATGTCTGTTGACACTACATTTGTGACTGGTGGTCTCAAGGTGGAACTGAATGTCGCTCCATCTGTTGAAATGCCAGTGGTTTGTGCGCTTGTTGGTTTCTCTTCGTTTATCCCGTTGCTTGTAGTGTGATTGCTGTTAACCCCATCACTTCCAGACTCTGGCATAATGCCGGTCTTCTTAGTAGTGTATGTCGTTTCTTTCAGCCGGGTGGTCTCTCTGCTAGTGGTCTGCGTAATGGGTATGCCTGTTGATTGCGTCCACACATGTTCTGTAGTTTGCTTTTCTTTACTAGGAGCGTCAAATGTAAATTTATCGCTTGTGGAACCATCGCTTGCGGTTTCTTCTGTTACAGGCTTGTCATCCTTGGGCTCGTGAGTTGAGCACTTCTCGTTGGGACATTTGTCGGTTTCTTGGTTAATCGTTTTCTCGCGTGTGGTGGCTGCTACCGAAGTCGTGTACTCTAGAGTAAGTGCATCGCTGGTTGTGTTACTTAGAATGCCTGTTCCTGCATTGACAGTTTTTGTGTTAGTAAATGTCTCTACAGTGCTCATATAAAAATTTGTTTCGGTAAAGTTAGTGCTTCTCGCACTGCTTGAGTCTGTTAGAATGCTTTGTGTGTCAATGGCAGCTCCAGTGCTACCTGTAGAAACAGAAGCACTGACTAGTTCTTCACTTGTGTTTGTTATTTCATCGTCGACAGTTCGCCCAACGGCAGATTCTTCACCGGTGGTAACATGACGTTTAGTATTTATACGGGTCATTGCTTCTGAAATAGTGCTTCCCGTTGTTGTGAGCACTTCTTGACTGTCCGGTGAAGGGGTCATGCCAAGACCAGTATTCCTTGAATTAACTGTTGTTTCATCAAAATCCTCTGTGGCGATCATGCTTACGCTAGAACTTTTCAAGTCACTGGTTACTTTTTCAGCATCCAATGAAGTGGCAGTGTCGGCACCGGTAACACCTACATCAGTATTTGCTTTGTGAAAATCAGAAGAAACGGTGATGCTTACTCTGTTGCTCCACGAATCAGTGGTTGCTTGTTCATTATCAGATGAAACAGTCGTGCGCATCCCAGTTTCTTCCGAGCTTGTGATAACTTCACCGAAGCCTGCAGAAATGCTTGTTTCCGAATCAATTGTCACTTCGTCAGTATCCGATGAAACGCTCATGCTATTTGTGCTGGAACTCACTGAACTAGTAATAATTCCATTTGTATCCGCCAGTGTGATGTTGCTCGAACTTGCTTCTATTGAACTGGTGCTCACTTCCTCAACATCCGCAGTAGATATCATGCTATCATCGGAACTTTCTGAATATGTCGTCACTTCGTCAGAATACTTTGTTCTGGTCGTGTTAACGCCACTCTTTCGAAGAGTAACGTTGTCGTAATTTATCGATGTGCTTATCTCTATTGAATTACTAATTGAACCAGTATTTACGTTATCGACGTCTGATGATACAGCCATGCGTACGCCGGTACTCCATGAATAAGTGGTTACTTCGCCAGAATCAACAGGAGAGTTCACGTAGGCTCCAGTTCCCTGTGGTGTAGTAGTAACAACAGCAGCACTCTTAGTTGTGGTTTTAAGTGCACTGGTGGTATTTAAATCTCTGGTCACTTTGTCAGTATTATCTGACGCGTTCACGCTGTTCCTACCAGTGCTCCTTGAATATGTAAATTGATTTGTATTATCCGCCGAGGCGTTTAAGCTGGAATCTTCATTCCCGGAACTGGTGCTGACTTCATCTATATTCGGAGGTGCCGCCATACTTGAGCCAATATTTCCTGAAGTAGTGGTCACCCGAACCGTATCCGCCATTGCGGTCATGGCCGCTTCTGTCTTCATAAAAATAGTGTTCACATGAAAATTCGTCGAGGCGGTTGTATATATGCCGGCGTTCCTTGAACCCGTCGTTGAATTATCAAGATCGGTTGCATCGGACTCACCTGGGTAAGTACTGCCCGAATTATCAGTATTCATTACATTTTTCACAGCATGAGTATTCGCTGAAGTGGTCAGGATCTTGGCGGAGTTCCCTGTCATAGCGGTTACTTCGTCCATTCTCGCGGATGGGATTAGACCTGCGTAGTTGCTATTTAAACCAGTGGTTTCTTGATCAACACTTGCAAAGGTGGGCGTGTTTCTATCGCTGTTCTTTAAAGCAGTGTTTGCACCGTCAACGTCCGCGGATATGGACATGTGAGTGGTAATTTTATAGGGATCCACCGAATCGGTCACGGCAGCGCTGGTACAATCTAAATCACAGGGTGTGACCTCAGCAGTATCTGATGACGCGGCAGTGTCTTCATCTTCGGTTTCTAAAATAGATGGACCTAGATATACCGTAGTGTCAACGCTACTGCGTTCAGAGTCCGTGGTTCTTTCACCACTACCGCCAGTCCAATCATGTGCTGTATGTTCGCTGGTGGGCACCACACTGCTAGCTTCTCTGATTTTTGTTTGTGTACCACTTCTTACTGTACTGCTTGTTGCTGTGTCAATGTCTCTAAGGCTAGCTGTCTCTCTAGTATCAGTTTTCATTTTAACGGGTTCTTTTCTTTCACTTAAAGTTGTTTCATTGTCCTCTTCCGAACTTGATGCTTTTGTGCTCATTGCCTGTGCAGACCTTGTTCCGATGCCTGTTCTTTCTGTGACAGCTGATGTTTGTTCTATCGGTCCTTCGGTAGTAAACTTCGTGCTCGCAACGGCAGTTTGGACGCTTCGAATGACTACTCTCGCAGTATACTTGTTGGCAGTTGGTATACTTTCGACGAGTTCAACCGTAGTGGCTTTAGTAGACGATTTCTTTGTCACTTCGGCTTGCAAGGGGCTGACTTTCTTTGGAGGTACATTTTGTTGTATTTTCCGCAATGTAGTGTATCCGGTGTTCTGCAAAATAATGTTCTTAGACAACGTGCTTAAAACAGCGTAATCCTTTGTTGGCCCGTCCTTGTCCTGTGGTTTAAATGGCATGACTGAAGGTAAGACTCCAGTTGGTTCCGGTTTCTTGACATTGCTGGGTGTTGTGTGCGCCAAAATTCCATGCTCTGCCTCCTCGGACGTTGGCTCCAAAGTGACAGGAGTGGTTCTGTGAATAGGGACGTTGTCTGGATGCATTGATTTTGCAGTTATGGATACTTCCACGTCACTTCTTCTGTCTCTCGTTCTTGAGTATTGTCCAGAAAGGACAGGAGAAATAACCATGAACGCCAGGATAGCACATTGGAGCGGGACAGCACTAGAAAAGAGGAGGAAAATAATTACTTGATTTTTGACATGTACTGTGTCTTGTGAAATCTGTTTAGGTTGTTCATGAGCTAAAGTTAACGCACATACGCTGTTACTAATCAAAGCTAGGAATAATAAATCTTTTACCTGAAAGTTAGCCTTCAATATTTATTTATTAATTGGTAACATACGGCCGGTCGGAGGTCGAGGCAGGTCGTAGGTATGTTAAGAGTAAAAAAAAAAGTATTGCATTACCAATAAAAACAGAAACTTGCACTATTTACCACACTCGTCGATACAGTTAACAAATATAGAGTTCTTAAAAGAGACCACCTTGAAGCAACCGGGCAAAATAAATATGTTATGTTTCGGTCAAATTATTTTATCAAAGTCTGGAGATGTTAACATTATCCTGGCACTTATGATACTACTAGCGAAAGATTCTTTGGAGGTTATTCGTTTTCCTCTATTTAAAACATAGAAGATATCCGCGAGGAAACTGAACCCTGTTTTTCGCGCAGCAAAAATGCGCTAGACATCGTGGAAAACTCAAACTCCGTCAGAACGGAGCCCCATGCCGTTCGAGCAAGATGCCAAAGTTTCAACAATTACCATTACCGGAATAAAAAGCCAGAAGTGACAAACTGCTTTCGTGTATGGGAGGACGTCGTCCGTGAAAAGCAAAACGGAATGCCGCTGTTTGCGACCGCATCTCAAAGATGGCGCCATTTGTTCTCGAGGCTTCCCGCGCTTTTTCGCTTGACTAAACCAAATGACTGACGGCAAAGTTACAATACCTCACAAAGGTATTGTACCCTTGTCCCAACTTTGTCGTTTGTTAATAGAAAGAAACAAAACTAAATAAAGAATATGAAATTGTAGTCACTCGGTCTTTTTTATGAAAAGGCGTCCGGATAAATACCGAAGCAGACTATGTCTGCTTCTGTCTTCACAAACACCCACAGTCACCTACGCGCACCTGCAATGATTGTTTATGTCCAGTTTTATTTAATTACCAACTGGCGTTCCTTAGGCAGCAGTTAACGCGCAAACAACTGAACCAGGTCGTATTATCGAAATGGGGACCTTTAAAACGGTAAAGCTCAAGGTCTTCTTGGAGTTTAGCTTACGGCCACCTTCCAAGTCGGTGATCTGGACGTGGTCCCGGCGCTTTGCAGAAGAAAGTAGCGTCAAGTACAAAAACTTTCAGTTTCCTTTTCAAAAGGAAGAGCTCTGCTTCGCCATCGTCGGTGCCTTCGAGGCAGATCCCCATTTGCCTTTGCAAAAAGCCGGGCGTTTGTTCGATGTATTCAAGCACACCGTGCGCAAAGCTATCGGCGAGATGCGCCCGTACAAGCTTGGCCTGATTTAGGAGTTTTTGCCCGGTGACTACGAGAAACGACTTGACTTTTGCCGGGACGGGCTCCTCAGGATTGCACAAGATCCATAACATCTGCAGTTTTTGCTGTTTAGTGATGAGGCGACATTTCATCTGGACTGGCAGGTCAACACCCAGAACTGGAATTGGAGTTCGATGAGTCCGCACTGGACGCTCGAGAGGGTTTTGCAGTCGCCGAAAGTAACAGTCTGGTGCGGAATCTGAAAAAAGGACGTCGTTGGCCCCTTTTTCTTCGACAGCAACTTGTCTGGAGACACCTACCTGAAGATGATGCAGGATGAGTTTCTTCCCGAGTTGGGAGCACTGCTCATGCAGCGGAACGTATGCATTCTTATGCAAGAATGCAACCCGCTGGGCGACAAGTGTAATGCACTGGCTTAATTAACGCCATCTTCCCAGGACGGTGGATGGACCGGTGACCGCCGAAGATGCCGTGGCCGCCCCGATGGCCAGACCTCACAATATGCGACATTTTCGTTTGGCGGTTTGTGAAGTCCCAGGTGTAAAAAACCCGCATCCCCACGCTCGACGCGTTCAAGCAGCGCATCGAGGCAGCATTGCTTTCATCACGGACGAGATGCGAGCTGTGGCACTCGGAGAGTACGAGACCAGACTTGGGCTCTGCACTTGGCGCCTAGGATGCCACGTCGAAGCTCTGGTTCTGACTGAAGTAGAGCTCTAGGGCCCTGCTTAGAACTGATCTGACAACAGTCTACGAGACCAACTTACACCTTCCTGTCAAGTGTACGGCTTATTTATTTTATGACCCCGATGAAGGACTTTTTCAGGGCTGCCAGTTGTCGCCACGGAGCCTATAGACACTCTCGTCGCGGCTGCTGTCCCGTGTCTTTAAGTTCCTATGGAAAGAAGATTGTTTTGTAAGCGCCCTCTTTTCTCCTCACATATTGCTTCATCTTTTACCTTCATGTTATGCAGTCCGGTGTCACACACTATGTCCAACCAGCAAATCAGTGAAAGGCTCGCATCACAAGAGTAAAAATGCCGAGCCAGCTGGTGAAGCAACAGAATATCTTAATTCAGGATAAACAAATACATTATACAAATACACATTCTAGCGAGCCTAACCTGGGTCACGAAAAGTCTAACAACAACCTGGAATTTTACCCAAACCGAGACGTAAGAAACGATGCCAATGTACTGTGCCGCAAACCGACAGAGCGAAACCGAAACTAACCAAAAACACTTGGCCGATGGAGGCGCCATTTGTGAGATGTGGTTGCAAACAGTGGCATTCCGTCTGCAGCTTCTCACGGACGGCGTCCTCTGATAGACGAAAGCAGTTGTTCACGTCTAACCTTGTATTCCTGTAATAATAACTGTTGAAATTTTGGCATCTTGCTCCAACGGCTGGGGCTACGCTCTAACATAATTTGAGCTCTCGCGACGTCTAGTTTATTTTGGCTGTGCAAAAAACGGGGTGGTTTGGTTTTCTCGCAGACATCCTGTATTTTTGGGCCTTGTAAAAACAGGATGTGCAAAAAAAAAAATCTAGAATGACTCTTCTGGTCTATCTACAAAATTGTCTTACATACTGGGGGCTTGGTATGTCGTTGCCTCAATAAAAATCAATATATACTAAGTACTATCGTTCATATCTTAGGATACCCGAACTCGTTAAAGGCTTAAGCCTGATGTGATTCTTTTCTGTTTGATATGTTATGATGTCCCAAGACCGATTCAAACTTTTAATTAATAAACTCAAAATTAAAAAAAAAAAAAAAAAGAGAAAAGAACAACAAAGCGTGGCTGTAGTTACCGAGAAACGCAGGGTGTTGAGAGTCCTGAGCATGTTATCAATATTGGCATGCAGTCAATGAGGGTGCAGCATTAGCCGTTGAAAACACCCGTGAGCGATTCACGCGTAAGCGAGAAGGGTAAAGATTTGATTCCTCTCATGAAAAAAAGAGACAATCCGTAAAAGCTTTACTAATAAGGCATTTGCCGGTCAGTGATACGGCCCGGGGGGGGGGGGGGGGGGGGGGCATATGTAGGTGGCTATTTGCCACAATAAGTATAATTAACAAAAAAAAATGTTCAATAACTTTTTTTATCAGTGAGGATGAAAATTTGGTCTCAATTATAATTTTTCTGAACTTAATCGAAAACCGCTAAATCTGCAATTTTTTTACAAATACTTTGAGCGTTGGGGAAGGGCGGTAAGGCGGTAAAGTTCCCATTCAACGGGGCTTGCGGCGAGAAAACGCGGATGATAAGAGACGGAGAAAAGTGCGCAGGGCCGAGTCATGGCACCGAGTGATAACTTCGAGTCTCTCCTAAAATTGACTGATTCAGCAGTTTTCGATTACGCTCAGAAAGTTCCTAATTGGAAACATATGTTAGGGTTCACTCATAAAAAAGCTAATTAACATATCTTCGTTAATTAGTCGACTTATTGCGACGATTTTTCCACTATATTTTGCCCCCTTGGCCGTGTACCTCAATTGCACAAACCGCATTAGCGTAGCTTTCAGGGATTAAAAAAAAAATCTTTGAAGACTAAAAAGAAAACGTATAAATTAAGAGAGTGTTTAAAGCAGACTTGCACGTAGTTCAACTACTCTACTCAAGTTACTGTAACTACTTTTCTGAGTAGTTTAGAAACTTTCAGTTACATTTTTATTTCGGTAATTAGTAGTTTACTTTAATTACTTTTTGAGTAACTTCTACTCAAGTTACAAATTACTTTCGAATTTTAGTGGTTGTTCTGCCTACCAACAAACATTGCTGCACAAAGGAGATAATATGTTCGAAGATCAGCTGATATTCGGAAAAAAGGGGAAGCATATGGCGTAGGAAGGGGGGGGGGGGGGAGGAGGGAGAAAATGGTTTGGAGAGTCCGAAAATAATTTGGACAGTCCGAAGCGCCCTACTGCCCCCCCCCCCCCCCCCCCCCCCCCCGACACACACACAACACTGCTACGAGGCGCGGGGAGGGAACAGACACGACGCAAGAGAGGCCGAGTAACTGCGGGATTTGCGCCGAAGACTGGCGTTTCTTTGTGTCCCGAAGCTCAAGGAGACTCGACCCTTTTGAAGAAAGGATTGGTCCCCGCTTCTCCCCAACGTAGAAACTCTCGCCCACTACAGGAGGTGCACACACTGCATCCTCACTCAAAGGAGGCAACAAAAATCAGCACCTGCTCTGAAACTCATCTTATGCTCCCGTAGTTTGTGCTGCACACGAAGGAATCGCGTGCTAAAGGGCAACGCAAAGATTACCTTTTTGCGTTGCTCTTCCTATCAGAACTCAGAATTCGCAGATCTTCAAAGATTCATAGATCGTTTGAGAAACATGTAGTAATTCCCCTAACGTTTTTATAGAAAA